TCCCACGAGCACAGCAACCCACTCGACGACTTCGTCGACTCCGTCTTGGGCAGCATGCTCCCTGGAGGTCGGACTGCAGCCAGCAGATCCGACGACCTGAGCTGGCCGTAACAGGGCCCAAGAGGATCGAGACGGGCGCCTACCACGGCAAGACGACCGCGGGGCTCAAGGCGGCCGCCTACATCATCACGGACGCCCCCCTCAAGGGAGAGGGGGGGGGACGACACGGTCCAGGCGTGACCTGGGCCGCCACCCGCGTGAAGGCCTCATGGGGGTGGACTCCCTTCCTCCCCAAGGCCTTTAATGAGCCCCCTCCCCCCACTCCGCTTTGCCACCCCCATGTGGCCTCTCCCTTTTCCCCCCCTCCGCCCCGAAACTTCTGGGCCCTTTTTTCTCCCCCTGCGAGGCCCAAGCGGCTTCTCCTGCGAGGCCTAGGCGGCTTCTACTCCTTGCCCTCCTGGCGGGGGCCCGTGTCGGGGGGGTGGCCCCCTCCGCGCGCCTCGGGCGCGCGCGCGCGGCCGCGGCCGCGCGAACAGCTTCGTCCAACGGGACATCGAGCTGCGAGCGAAGCGAAGCGAAGGGAGGAGGAGCACTTCCCGCTCGTCACCCTGTTCTCCACCTCCTACCTCGCCGTCGTCGTCTGTACCTCTTCTGCGTCCTGTGCGATCGGATCTGGCCCGCCCTATCGCTATCGCTATCGCTATCGGCTCGATGTCCTGTCGGACGCAGCCGTCCCGAGGGGGGGGCCACCTCCTCCCCCCCTCTCAGAAGAGGTACTCCCTGTGGGAGCCGAACACGATGATCTTGCCCCCCTCGGTGGCCGCCAGCCTCCTCCACCTAAGGAAGGCGGCACGCTCACCACCCGAGGGGGCGACGGCGATGATGAACTCGCCGTTCAGGTGGGCGCCCTCCAGGATGAGGAAGTGGTTGTGCTGGGAGGCGCCGTGGGCGCCAGTGCGGTTGAAGAAGGCCTGCTGGTGCCCGATGCTCTGCTGGTGCCCGTTGGTGTGCTGCTGTTTCCCGCAGGTGTGCTGCTGGTTCCCGTAGGCGTGCTGCTGGTTCCCGTCGGAGCGGGGCGGAGGCTTGGCCCCCAAGTGGGCCGTCCTCCTGGTCTGGGCGGGTCGTCGTAGGGCCTACCCCCTCGCCCTGCAGGGGCGCCGAAATTTGCCCCGCCAGATTTTGCCTCCCGCGCGGCTGCCGCCATGTCGTGGTTCTCGGTGTACGTGGTTTCGCCGTCGTACTCGCTGTCCGTGGCGTTGCTCTCTGTGTCGTTCTGGCTCGCTGGGTCGCTGTCGTCGAGTCGGCCGTCGGAGTCCTCCCCGTGAGAGTGGTCCTGGGGCCGCTCGAGGTGGCTGCGCAGGTCGAACGAAACCCTGCGTCTCGCTGGCTGCCTCGGGTCGCCGCCTGCTGCTTCTCGCAGGCTGCCTCGCGCCGCCGCTGTACTCGTGGTGGTAGCCGTCGGAGTCCTCCTGGAAGGAGTGGTCCTGGGGCTGGTGGCGGCGTCATCCTTGGTCGCGCGCTGGCCGCGGGCGTCGTCGTGCTCGGACGCGTCGCCCTGGTCGGCCGCGGACCAGTGGGCGCTGGTTACGACACCAGCGAAGATCGCCTCGATGCATGCTGGAATGGGGATGCCGTCGGCGGCCATGGAGACGAAAGCAGCCGCGTTGGGCGCGCAGATGCCTGCCGCCTCTAGTGCCGCACGGGCCGCGGATCGCCACTGCGCACCCGATCTCGCCGCAGCTCCGATGACCTCAGCTGCCACGGCAATCTTCTCACGCGCCTGGGTGCCGCCAATGCGCTGATTCGTCAGCTGCAACTTCGCCGTGCTGCAGCTGATGGTGTGCTCTCGCACGGCCCGAAGCAAGTCCTCTTCCACTGCCGTCTCTTCTCGCACAGCGCCGGTAACTGATGGCGTAGTGATGTTGCCGCTCTTGCCCGCTGCCACTGCCGCTGCCGTGCCCCTCGTTTCACATTTGCCCTGTCCCCTGAATCGTAGATGATCACATCGGGCTCTATCTTCGCCTTCCTTCGTCTCGCACGTGTTGGCTGGGTCCTCGGCTAGGTTATTGGTGAGGGGCTCCATCCTCACCGCCTGCTTCTCACAGTGATGTGTTTGCGATGGCGTCTGGGCTCTGTCGTCTAGATGGCCTGTGTCATCGCCCTCCAGCTTCGCTGGCGCTGTTGCTGGCGCCACATCACGCGCACGGGCGGCCGCGCCTGCAGCTAATGACGACTGTACTCCATTCCTAGCGCCAATTCCCGAGGTCGCATCAAGCTTGCCCTGATCCCTGAACCGTAGATGATCGCGTCGGGCTCTATCTTCGCCTTCCTTTCTCTCGCGCATGGCTGAGTCCACTTGGAGTGTTGACTCTTCACCGCTGCTGCCACTGCCGTTGCTTCCTTGAGTCTTGACTCTGGACTGCTGCTGCCACTGCCGTCCCCTGCCATTGTTTCTTGATTCTTGACCGCTGCTGCCACTGCCGTTGCTTCCGCCAGCTGCCTGGGGCGACGCCCGCCCTTTCCCGCAGGGGTCGTCCGCTTCGGCGCTGTAGCTGATGTCTTCTGGCATCCAGCGCTGTCCCCAAAAAGGCTCATGATGCGCTTGTTGCCACCACTGGTGCCACGCTCGCAATTGGCACTGCAGATCGGAGATGAGTTGACGTTGAGACTGCAATTGATGGCTCGCTGCCCGCTGCGTCGCCACCTGGCGCGCTTTCCGCGCGAGGCGGACCTGTTGGGCCCAGGGGTTCTTCTGCTGTTGCTGCTGCTGCTTCACAGGCTCCACGCTCTGCGTGCCGAGCGAGGCACCATGAGCGTCCTGCCAGGGCCGTGCCACATGACGAGGCTCCATCGCGGCGCGGTCGGCAGGACCTGCGAACGCACGCGCGCGCCTGGGGCCAGCCCGCGAAGCCGCCAGCCCTGTGGCCCCGGAGGGCCGCAGGAGGGCGGCGGCGGTTCGGGCCCCCGATGGCCCTATCTGGCCCGCCCTCCTCCTCCTCCTCCTCCCCCTCCCCCTCCCCCCTCCCCCTCCCCCCTCCCCCCTCCCCCCCCCCCTCCCCTCCTCCTCCTCCTCCTCCTCCTCCTCCTCCTCCTCCTCCTCCTCCTCCTCCTCCTCCTCCTCCTCCTCACGCCGCGCAAGAGACCTGCTGCCTGTTGTTCACGACCCCGGAAATCAGTATCATTGCATGCCCTTGCGAGGGTGTTTTTTGTTAGCCCCTGGGCCACAAAGTACATCCTGCCTCCCCGTAACGCTCGCTCCCCCTCCCCCGCAGGGTGTCTCCGGCACTGCCGCAGCGCGCTCGGTATTTACAGTCTGCGGTGCCAGACTCACACGGCGTGGGGGGGCGTTACGCTATGCCCCCCCCCCCCACCCTCTCCCCCTCACAACGCTCGTGATCGCCGCGAATAAGACATGTACTCATCCCCAAGTCTCTCCTGATGGTCGGGTTCGTGGCACTTTCTCCCGGCGATGACCCTCACTTCCCTGGCGGTCGTCAGCGCCGCCTCCTCTTCCCACCCGACCGCCGCCCCTCCCCCACAGTCGTCGCTTCCGCCCCGCTCCCGCGTGCCCGCAGTCCCCACTCGTATCCGTGGAAGTGGCTTTTCGAGCCCGTGACCTTCACCCACCTCGCGGTCATCACTCCAGTCGAAGAAAGAAACATTTGCAGAAACATGAACTTGAGACGATCCGCTGGACCCCCCCCTGGCGGCGCCTCCGGCCCCGCTCCTGGCGCAGATCCAAGAAACCCGCGCCGATCGTCGAAGGTCATGTGTTTGGTGTCTTTATCTGCTTGGCCCTCTTGATGCCCAATTCCGCAATGAATTTCACCGCTCTGACGATTATGACGTCCACTTGCACCCATCCAGTCGTCACAACCACCAACCCTTTAGGGGTCATGCCTTACTTTCCATTTCGACCGATTCACCTTGGACCCCGTCGCAAAGCTTCACTCACTCCCTCCGCTGAACAGAGGTATGGCCCCCACCCAACCCATGACCCGCAGCACCCTCAACGGCATGACCTCTCCTCACCGTCAAATCCTCCGGTATGCGGGCATGATTCATGTCCATATCCAGTGCCTTTTGGACTTTTTTGGAAGCGGCGCCACAAGGCCGAGCCGCACTGGATATGGATAAAAATCGAGCCTCTAGGGGGCAAATTTATCCATATCCAGTGCGCCTCGGGTTTCTTGGGAAGGGAGCCCGAAACTCCATACTGCAGTGGATACAGAGAAAAGCTTTGCCCGCACGGCAGTCCCCCGAAAACCCCTGAACGCCAGACCAAGAGTTCAGGCGAAGCGGATCGAGCTCTCGCGTCACTCTTGGGTCCTTCTCGGCTTCCTGGCCCTCCCGGCCCTCGTGGAACCCCCGCGCTGACAACGGAGAGGCCTGCCCCGAAAACATGCCGGCCCGATCGCACCTCGGGAGCCGTGCCCGAGCTGCTGCCTGGCAGACGCGGGAGGCCCAGGCCTCGCGCCCGCCACGGAGGCGGCGAGCTTCGGCCGCGCCTTCCCCCCCGCGGCAGCCCGTCGTCTCCGAGACCGGCGGTCTCGCCGTCGCCGTCCACGTCGTCCGCGCTCTCGGGCTCGTCCTCGTCGTCGGCGCTTCCGGGCCCTCGTCGCCGCAGCCCGGTCGCGGTCACGGCGTGCACCTCCTTGGGCGTCATGAGCGCGACCCCCCCCGCGGTCATCGATTCCTCGCGCCTCGTATTCATAATGCTTTCCCCCCCGTCACGCCGGCGCTCTTTCTCCCAGACAAGGATCGTGCGTGTGACCCCTTCTGGAAGCATGACCGTAACCCTTCCCGTGGTCATCATTTTCTTTCACCAGTCGCTCATTCACGTAGTGTTTGGGAGCGCACGGGCGCACGATCAAGATTGAGGCTCAAGCTGCTGCGGGGGATGCTTGCTCGGGCGAGCCATTTGGGAGCTCGGCCCGGAAGGACCCACCCAAGGACTCACCCTCAGCCCCTCAGCTGGAGGCCTGGGCATCCGGTCACCGATGCCGCCGGTCAGCGAGCTGAGTTTCAGGCGCGCGATGATCAACCTCACGGACGCGGGGAGGCTGGGCGAGGGCGAGGACCTCAACGATGCGCTCCTGGATTTCTTCACGAGGCTGGGCCAGTTTCTGATACCAGCGAAGGGCGACGAGGAGACGCCCTGCGTGTTCCTCGGGGCGCACTTCTTCAAGCAGTTGAGGAGCGCGTTCGCCACGTCTGGTGAGCAGGGCTGGAAGAACGTGCAGAATTGGGCCAAGAGGAAGGCAGGCGGGCTGTTCAAGCCGCAGTACGCCGCTTTTGTTGTCCCCATAAACGAGGACTTGAAAGACGACAAAGGGCAGGACGCAGGCAACCATTGGTGGCTCGCGTTGATTCTGAACCCTGCTGGGGGTGCGAGGGCGGAGCCGACTGCGGTGATGTGTCTGGATTCTATGCAGAGGCGCCAGAAGACGTTCGATCCGCCACTGCGTGGGTCTCTGCAGGGCTCTCGTGGAGGTTACACCGTAGAGGTCACCCAGGTAGAGCAGGCCGGCTACCTCTTGATAGTCTCTTTTTCTGCTCGAGGTGATGGGAGCCAGGGCGCGATTCAGCGGCCGGAGAAGTCTCGGCTTCTCGCAGACGGGGTTGTCAGCAGCAACCCCACTCTCGGCCTGAGGATAAACATGCCTGGCAATGAAGACGTGCCCGGGCATTTCGAGGGGACCCTCACGTTCTCGCTGGATGGCCGGGTGCGGGCTTCCACCTTCGCTTTCGCGTTCGGGGAAGGTGCCTACTCGCCTATTACAATGGAGTTCGACCCTTTTGTGTTGACGCCCCTGCAGAAGGACGTCTCACGGTTCATCGGAGGCTATCTCGCGAAGGAGTGGGACACGAACGGTCCAGATAAGAAGCTCAAGTTCGAGAAGACATCTGCTCGCGCTCTCGTTGCGGATGTGCACCAACAGGAGAATCTTAATGATTGTGGCGTGTTTGTATCCATTTGCCTGGGGCAAGTCCCGTAGCCGTGGCAGCCCAGTATTATGGTTGGCGATTGTTCGAGGGTGGGAGAGCCATGCTGTTGCTGCTGCTGCTGATAATGATGATGATGATGCTGCTGATGATGATGATGCTGCCGATGATGTTGATGTTGTTGATGATGATGATGCTGCTGCTGATGATGATGATGATGATGATGATGATGATGATGATGATGATGATGATGGTGATGATGATGATGATGATTGTGATGATGATGATGATGATGATGATGATGATGATGATGATGATGATGATGATGATGATGATGATGATGATGATGATGATTATTATTTAGATGAGGACGACGAGGATGATGGTGATGGTGTTGGTGATGGTGATGGTGATGATTGTGATGTTATTGATGATCGGAACCGTAATGCACATAACGTCACGAGGCTTTGGACGGAGTCGAGGAGAGCGTGGAACCCCACCGCACCCCCACCGACCCGCCCGCCACGCACCGCCTCTATGCACGCATGCTAGGGCTCTGACAAGTCGGCGCTGGCACAGCGCGGCATTCAAGAGAACCATGTAATTCATCCTCACCGGCGCGGCGGCCCGACAGCATTTCACAGCGCCGTCCGCAAATGGAGGGTCATGGCAGCTGCGCGCGCAAGTTGGCGCTTACGCCGAAGACCATCACCTTGCTGACCATGCGGGCCGAGCGGGCAAGGCGGTGCAGCTGCCAGGAGAGGAATGTGATGGACATGGCGACCCCGAGAGCCCCGTGGCCGCAGTACCGCAGCACGACCGCCGACAGCGGCACGACGAGCGAATCCGCGAGGAGGAAAGAAAGACACGATACCATTGGCTAGTGAGCAAAGTGACACGGCGCACGAGCGCCATGGCGCTCAACAGCCTTTCAGCGACTGCGCTCCTGACCAGCACGCCGAAGCCGAGCAGCACCACGAGGGTGGTCGCACCTCCAGCCTGGCCGATGGCGAGCACGTCGATGGATCTGACGACCCAGCGAGCCCCAGCCTTGTGCATCAGCACGTCCGCCTTCAGCGCCACGATTGCCGAGACCATGGCGCCGCACGCCAGCGCACTGGCCCCGAGCTCCACACAGCTGGCCACGGCGAAGGGCGGGACAGCACCACACCCGCCTCGGGCGCCGGCTCCTGGATGCCCTCGCCGAGCTCCCGCAGCCGGGAGGCCGTCCGGCAGCAGCAGGCCTGGAGCAGCCTGAACACTGCCAGGAGGTGCATCAGGAGCTCCATCTCGGCCCCGCGGGCGGCGCCCGACCACGGCCTCACGAAGGGCCAGGGCAACCAGCTCCGCCCCGCCTGCGGCGGGAAGGCTGGTGAGCTGCTCGGCCAACGGCGCCGCGGGCGCCGCCCGGCGGGCGGGGCGCACCGCCCTGCCCCGTGCGCTCCAGCGTCTCCGCGCGGAGGCGCAGCGGGCGGCACTCCAGCGGCATCTGACGTGCACGGCCGCCAGCGGGCGACGGGCTCGGGGGCGGCGAAAGCAAGCGCGACGGAGGGCTTGGCGTCCTCCCGAACAGGCTCGAGCCCACGCGGCCATCTATGATGATGCTGATGTTGACGCTGATGCAGATGCTACTGCTGCTGTTGCTGCTGCTACTGAAGATGATGATGCTGCTGCTGATGATGATGCTGATGATAAGGTTGAGCGGGACGATGAGGGGGATGACGAGGATGATGATGAGGATGATGGCGGTTGTGGCTGTAGTTGCGGTGATGGTGGTGGTGATGATGATGATGTTGGTGATGATGATGGTTGGGACGATCATTATTATGTTGATGATGATGATAATGATGGTGATTAGGATGATGATGAATGGGGCTGTGTAGGAGGGAGAGGAGGTAGAGGATGAGGATAATGACGATGCTGATTGTGATGATGATGATTATGTCGACGACGACGACGGCGACGACTACGACGACGATGATGATGCTGATACAGATGATGATGATGCTGATGAGTCTGATTATGATGATGACGATGTTGCTGATGACGATGATGAGGATGACGATGATGGTGATGATGATGATGATAGTGGTGATGATGATGATGATGATGATGATGATGATGATGATGATGATGATGATGATGATGATGATGATGATGATGATGATGATGATGATCATGAGGAGGAGAAGGATGAGAAGGAGGCGGAGGAGAAACAGGAGGAGGATGAGGAAGAGGAACAAAAGGTAAGGAGGGGGAGGAGAAAGAAGAGGAGGGCGATGAGGAGGAGGAGGAGGAGGAGGAGGTGGAGGAGGACGAGGAACACCGTCACGTGTGACACCTTTCGTCTTCACTATTGGAGGAGCTTTCATAGAAGTCGTTGTGGTCGTCTTGGGTCTGTCTTGGCCTCTTGTGATGTAGTCTTCAGGGTCCCTTGGGACCCTCTTGGGCCGTTTGGGGGCCCAGTTGCGCCGTCTTGGGGCTCTCCTGGGCTGCCTTGGAGCCCCCCTGGGCGGTATAGAGGGTGCCCGGGGGCCCTCGTGGGGCAGCCTTGGAGCAGGCGCGAGGCCTCCTGAGACCGTCCTGGGTCCCACGGGAGGCCCTCTTGGGCCGCAGTGGATCCGTCTTGGGTGCCTCTTGGGTCCTCGCGGGACCGCTTGGGCCATCTTGGGACACTCTGGGGGGGCCTCTTGGGCCGTCGTGGGGCCATCGTGCGGGCGCCTTGGCCCGTCTTGAGCTGATGGAAGCCCGGGGCGGCGAGGATGCGAGCATGATCCAATGCGGCTTTTCGGCGTTGGGAGGTCCCGCTGTGGCTTTTTTCGGGCCCTGTTGGAGGTCCTCTTGTGGCCCTTTTGGGCCGTCTTGGGGACATCGGGCCGCCTTGCGGGCACCTTGGGCCGTATTCGAGGCATCGTGGACCATCTTGGTTTCCTTGGCTGCCTGTACGGGCCGTCTTGGAAGCTCTTGATGCGGATCCACCGCTTGAAACGAAGGATCGTTGCATCGAGAGCGCGGATCTTTTGGTTCCCAACCATCCTGTAGTGTTGGGTCCTCGCGTTGAAGAGACAGCGCCCCGCGCCCTCTCCTCGCTCCTCCTCCTCCCCCTCCTCCCTCCGTCAATCATGATCATCATCATCATCATCATCATCATCATCAGCATCATCATCATCATCATCATCATCATCATCTTTGTCATCATCAGCGTCATGGTCATCAGCAGCATCGTCATCGTCATCATCACCATCATCATCATCATCATCAGCATCATCATCACGACCGTCATCATCACCGTCATCGTCATCATCGTCATCATCACCATCATCATCATCATCATCATCATCATCATCATCATCATCATCATCATCATTATCATCGCCGTCACCATCAACATCACCACTCACACGTTTCGTGGCCCCGCAGGGAGCTCCACCCAAGGCCCAGTGGCACCGTCCACATACGTCTGCCACACCCATGTCGGTACACCCCTCACACGCTTCGTGGCCCCATAGGGAGCTCCATCCAAGGCCCCAGTGCCACCGTCCACATGGGTCCGCCAAACCCATGTCGGCACACCCCTCACGTTTCGTGGCCCCATTGGGAGCTCCACCCAAGGCCCCAGTGCCACCGTCCACATGCGTCCGCCGCACCCATTTCGGGACACGCTTACACGTTTCGTGGCCCCATTGGGAGCTCCACCCAAGGCCCCAGTTGCACCGTCCACATGCGTCCGCCGCACCCATTTTAGCACACACCCCTCACACGCTTCGTGGCCCCAATGGGAGCTCCACCCAAGGCCCCAGTGGCACCGTCCGCATGCGTCCGCGACACCAACGTCGGCACACCACTCACACGTTTCGTGGCCCCGCAGGGAGCTCCACCCAAGGCCCCAGTGGCCCCGTCCACATGCGTCCGCCACACCCATGTCGGCACACCCCTCACACGGTTCGTTGCACCATAGGGAGCTCCATCCAAGGCCCCAGTGCCACCGTCCACATGCGTCCGCCGCATCCATTTTAGCACACACCCCTCACACGCTTCGTGGCCCCATTGGGAGCTCCACCCAAGGCCCCAGTGCCACCGTCCACATGCGTCCGCCGCACCTATTTTGGCACACCCCTCATACGTTTCGTGGCCCCATTGGGAGCTCCACCGCAGGCCCCAGTGCCATCGTCCACACGCGTGCGCCACAACCCATGTCGGCACACGACTCACACGTTTCGTGGCCCCGCATGGAGCTCGACCCAGTGCCCCAGTGGCACCGTCCACATGCGTCCGCCGCACCAATTTCGGCACACGCCTCACACTTTTTGTTTGTGGCCCCATAGCCCCACAGGGTGCCTCAATAGTTCGGGCACTTGTCAGAAAACGCGTTCTTCAATGCTGTGAAGGTGCTGCGGGATTGCAGACCCCTGCCTCTGGGCCGAACACCTCATGCCAGCATTCAAGCAGCGCCCACCACGCAAGCGCCACGCAAGCACGTTAGTTTTTTTCTGACGATCGAGTCTCGTGGGGCGGGTTCTTCCGTCTCGGTTGAGTTCTAACGGTCCTGGGTGCCCCGCTCGGGGAGAGCGACGGGCGACACGGCTTCGTCGTAGCCGCCGTCGTCGTTGTCGCCGCCGCCGCCGCTGCCGTCGTCGTCGTCGTCGTCGTCGCCGTCGTCGCCGTCGCCGTCTTCGCCGTCGTCTGGGGTCGAGGGCCCCGGGGGGTTCGCAGCGGGGGGAGCGGGAGCGTCGGAGGACTGGACGGGCCGTCGCCTCGCCGCCGACACATTTCGGTACGCTCCTCGTGGCCACGTAGGGCAGTCCGCCGAAGAAGATATTCACAGCTGCGGTGCTCACAACCGCATGTGGTTGGGTCCCTTGTCAGGATGATTTTTACGAGGGGGAGGAGGAGGAGGAGGAGGAGGAGGAGGAGGAGGAGGAGGAGGAGGAGGAGGAGGAGGAGGACGAGTGGCCTCGAGAGGGGGGAGGTGCATGCAGTGAGACGGGGGTCAGAGGGGGGGTCCCATAGTAGAGTGCAGGAGTCCTGCCAGACAGCTCCGTGCATTCTTCCAAGGCCTCAGCGTGCGCAGGCCACGGTGGCGGACTAGAGAATTCTCTGAGGTCGCTCTCCATGAAGAGAGATTTTCTTCTCAGCATGGCGGGAGCCAGCCCTAAGGTGCTCACCAGCTTCCCTTGGCCGACTCAGCAAGACATCACCGCCAGGAAGGAGAAGCTGAAGGCCATCACGGCGCGCCTGTTCGCCGTCGCGGCAGAGAAGGGCTGTGCGGACGTCGAAAAGTTGATGAAGGATGACGCCGATCTGAAGAACGAGGTTCGCCTGAGCCTGACCGACGGAGAGAACTCGCAGCTGGCCAAGTGGGCCGGAAGTCTGCAGAAGGCGCTCGCCTCGGCCCAGACGGAGAAGGAGAAGGCGGACGCGGAGTACAAGGAGAAGGAGGAGGCCGTGCAGGCCAAGCGCGAGGCGCTCAGGCAGAAGCGCGAGGAGGAGAAGAAGGCCGAGGAGGAAGCGCGGCGAAGCCCGAAGAGGAAGCCCCAGCCGGAGAGATCCAGGTCGCGCTCGGGGAGCGAGAGCGAGAGCAGACGGAGGCCCGCAAAGAAGAAGGCGGGCAAGAAGAAGGGCCGCTCGGACAGCCGCTCGGACTCCGAGGCGCCGAGAAAGAAGGGGAAGAAGGAGGCTCCCGCGAAGAAGTCCAAGGCCGGCGCCAAGGGAAAGAAGAGGAAGGGCGACTCCTCGCGCTCCCCGTCCGAGAGCAGATCCCCGTCGCGCCGCAGGAGGAGGTAAGCGCTCGAGCTCGCAGCTCCTGGGCAGCGCTGCCCGTGGGGTGCGGTGCCACGTGTAGCGCGGCTTTCGGGTCGGGCGAAAGGGGGGGATTGGGAAAGGGGGGTTTACGAAATTTGCTGCATGCAGCTGGTTTCGGCCCCGCCGAGGGGCCCATTCCTCGATACATAGCCGCCTCCGGCGCCGGGAGGCGCCGGGAAAATCAGCTACGCGAGCTGATTCTCAAACCCCCCCTTTGCTATCCCCCGACCTGACACGACGACCCGAAAGGAGAGGCTTCCTCCTTCCTCCTTCCTCCTTCCTCCTTCCTCCTTCCTCCCCCTCCTCCTCCTCCTCCTCCTCCTCCTTCCTCCTTCCTCCTTCCTCCTCCTCCTCCTCCTCCTCCTCCTCCTCCTCCTCCTCCTCCCTCCTCCTCCTCCTCCTCCTCCTCCTCCTCCTCCTCCTCCTCCTCCTCCTCCTCCTCCTCCTCCTCCTCCTCCTCCTCCTCCTCCTCCTTTCGCCCGACCCGAGGCTTCCTGCTCTCTCTGCGGCGCCCGCTCCGCGTATCGTTCGGTGTGGCGGTTTCACCCCAGCCGCTCTCGCCGCGCCCGGGTGCGGCGGCGCTCACGGCATGGGGCACGGTATAAGCCGCAGGGTCTCGACCTCCAGGGAGCCTTGGCAGCGCCCGGGACATCGTCATCGTCGTCATCATCATCATCATCACATTCATCATGATCATCATCGCTATCATCAGATCAGTCGGCATATTCAGCATCATCACCATTAGCATCACAACCATCATCACCATCACCATCACCATCACCATCACCATCATCATCATCATCATCATCATCATCATCATCATCATCATCATCATCATCAGCATCATCATCATTACCATCATCATCCTCACCATCACCATCATCACCATCATCATTAGCAGCATCATCAGCGTCATCACGATCATCAGCATCATCATCATCACCATCAGCATCCGCATCGTCATCATCGTCATCCGCAGCATCATCAGCATCGTCACCATCAACATCACCATCATCTTTATCACCATCATCATCAGCAATACCATCATCAGCGGCATCGTTATCATCATTATCATCATCAGCATCATAAAGCATTGTCATCAGCATCATAAGTTCCATCATCGTAATCATAGTGATCGCCATCATCATCATTATCATCATCACCGTACTCATCATAATCAGCATCACCATCACCATCATCATCATCACCATCATCATCATCATCGTCATCATCATCATTAGTATCATTACTAATGTTATTTCCATGTTTGTTATTCTTATTATTATTCTTATCATTCGCATCATCAGCATCAGCATCATCATCACCATCTCCACCATTATCATCATCATCACCTGTCTCATCATTAGCATACTCGTCATCATTACCATCATCATCATCAGCATCGTCATCATCATCATCATCATCATCATCATCATCATCACCAGTCTCATCATTAGCATAATCGTCATCATTACCATCACCATGATCAGCATCGTCATCATCACCATCGTCAGCAGCCTAATCCGCACCATCATCATCAGCATCAACATCATCATCACTATCACCGACACCATCATCATTATCATCATCATCATCATCATCAACACCATCATCATCGTTATCATCATCATCACCACCACCATCATCATCATCATCATCATCATCATCATCACCATCAGCATCCGCATCGCCATAGCCCATTTGCCACAGGCACCTGCTTGGCCGAGGGCTTCCTTGGCGCACTTGCGCCCGCCCGCGGGGTGGAAGGGTCGTCGTGGCTCGGCTGGCATGGCTGCAGCGGCTGGTGCAGAAGGGGATAGGTGTGCATACCTCAGCTTGCGCGGCGGCGATGCAGGAGAGGTGCAATATCAAGCTGATTGTCGAAGAGGCCCAGCCGTTCTCTCCCTTTGCACGCACTGCAGCCATTGGCATGCTTGATTTGATTGGCCACCTCGTGAACTTGCACACGGTTGTCGACCGTGGCCATCGTCACAATGATGGTCGCCATGAGGTTGGGCTATGGCTCTCACCGTGGCCTGGGCAGGAGCTGCCCTTTGACGCGGACAACGATGCTGGCGATGATGATGATGCTGGTGGTTGAGGCCCGCGCGGTTCTCGACTTGATCGTGACGATGACAATGATGCACAGGGTCCTGGCCCGTGGCATGGAGGCTGGGGCCCCAGGATGCCTGACCCGTGGCAGTCTGGTTCAGGCGGCCCGTGGTCTACGGCAGGTCCACCACCCAAGGCACCTCGGCATCAACAAATTGCTCTTCCTCTACCGGCTATACAGCTATACCCCCTTCCCCCTCCAGCACGGCGGCACCTATGTTCTGGCCCTCTGGTGGCAATGGGGACGTTCTTCTTCAAGAGCTGCTTGTCTACGCTCCTATGCATGTGTTCCCCGGTGATGGCGGTGGCCTCCCTGATTGTCGTGATGGGCCTGATGACCAAGAGGCGGAGCACGGCGCAGCGTAGGTGCCTGAACTTTACTCCGGTGGCGAACCGCTTCACAGTCCAAATCCTGGTGGAGGCAGCGATCCAGGTCACGGGGGTAATATCCCTGAGCCCCTTCGTGGCGCGCGGCTGCGCGAAGCCATTGCTTCTTGCAGAGATGCACGTGATGAGAGTATGGCCTGTCGTGGGTCTACTGCTACTTCATTGCTGCATTGGCTTATGGGCGAGTGCTTGGTCCTGCCCCTCCCGGATCAGATCGTATCGTCGAGCAGCTACCTGGACATCTTCGGGACTCGGAGTGTCAGGCAATGCTTGTTTATTTCTGCGCTGCTCATTTGGTGCACCGTCGGGCAGGTCATGTGGCTGAGATTCATACTGCGTTGGAGCAGTCTGTTGCGATATACGTTCGTTATTACCCCCACGTGCTGGTGATGCTCCCATTCCTGTGGTTCCTGCTGCTGTACATAGAGATGGAGATGTTGCTTCGCACTCCCGTCAGCACCACGATTGGCCTCTTGAGTTGTTCGTTGATCGTTACGCCAGCTTCCTTGATGGCCCCAGGATCGAGCGCGTTGGGAGGAGCTCAGGAGCTCGCAAGGCCAGCGCTGCATGCTTGA